AATAATTATCTAAATCGGATTTTGTGGTTGTTATATTTTCAACTGTTCTACAAATTGAGCGAACTCAGACCAACCAGAAGATGAAGCTTGAATAGTCACATTGTTTCCTCTTAACCAACACTTTCGCCATTTCCTTCACCACTACTAGAGTAAAACTCATCTGCATATTCTTTATACAATTCATATAAAGCTTTTTTCACTTGGTCTATTTTTCACAAGCTTCATTTCAGGATACATCCTAGGAAAGCAAAACTCAATAACCCTCATTTTGCACCTAGGATCTAAAATAGCACAATAGACATCATTAAGTTGCAATCTCCCCAATATTTATCAAATTTTAGTTTCATCACTTAACCCATGTCATGAACAAACTCATCTTCGTTAGAATCTTCAAACTTCTTATCCAACAAAACTTTCACTCTAAAAATTTCATTAAGAAATAAGTTTGAAGTCGGATACTCACTCCCAGAGATGATATTAGTCGCAGAGTCAAAAACTTCTAAGATTTCACATACCTTTTCCACCTTCAACCAATCATCATTGCTAGGACAACAAAGATAGCGTGGCTCTCTTTCTTTGTACATTGGAACACCTTTTAAATTTGATTGCAGCCGACAACATTGATATGTTGAATTCCATCTTGTCTTGCATTCAAGAATAAGGTTTCTATGTGGCAATTGCAACTGTTGCACAATCTCAGAAAACAAATTAAGTCTCCCTTCATTTTGATTGATAAACGTGACAGTTTCGTGAATATCCTCAATAATATAGCTAATTCTAGAAAGTCCATGTTGAACCACAAGATTCAAGATGTGTGCACAACAACTCATGAAACAACTTTCCTCCACAAGGCAACTTTTTAACCCTTGAAAAAGTTTCACTTAGGATCCTAACAGCCGAATCGTTATTTGAGGCATTGTCACGGAAATAGTGAACACCTATTCTCTATACCCCAATCCTTAAAACACTTGTAAAGATTGTCAGCAATCTCAAGCCCGCGATGAGGAGGAGGTAGTGAATAAAGCAAGAACACGTTTTTGTAATTGCCAATTAGAATCAACAAATGGGGCCTGTAAGAACCATATACTCGATTTTCTGATTGGTAGACTTCCACATATCCGTGGTCACACTAATCTTTGAAATAGACTTTAATAAATTCTTCAGCTTGTTCTTTTCTATCTCAAAAACTTTTTCGCAGTCTTTTTTAATGGAAACACGTGAGACATTTTCCCATTCAAGCATTCCACGCTTTTGCATCATGTTAAATCCTTCTTCTTCAACAATTGTGAAAGGATGCTCGTGCATAAGTATCCAATGCGCAACAGACTCTCTCATTTCTGTTATCACATCTGCAATATATCTTATTCAGGTATGTAATTCGAATTCCCATACTCAATTTTTCCCTTTTGAATTCTTAAATCACATAATAAGATCAAACAATTATCATGTTTTATATATTACAGATTAAAATCAATGATTACTGTAAGAGACTATCACTTACATACACATGGACTATTACTGTAAGACACAAAAGGAACTAAAAGCTGGAAATCGAATATTACTGTAAGAAAAAGAAATCGAATATTGCTGTAAGAAAAAGAAAGAAATATGGACTTACATTCAATCATATGTATGTATGTGTCGTTCTCCGTTCTTACTCAGTAGTCAGCAACAATCGATGAACTAAAGGCCGGCGATTATGAATGGTGGACCAGCGGCGACGAGCACAGATAGTGCACCGGCAGGCGGCAACCGGTATGTGGAGCAGTGCAGGAGGTGCCGGCGATCTGCGAACGACGATCTGCGTTTTTCGAATTGTGAAGGATTGAAGGTCTGAACGAACGATAGGGGTCAGGGCCTCAGGGGATAAGGCGAATAGCGAATTAGCGATAGCCGATACCGATAGCTAAGGGAATGAAGGTTTAAGGGTTTTTTTGGGTTTGGGAATTAGGACTTTAGATGGATCATGGATCGACGGATAGGGATATCACTTATCAGGCATTTTTTTTTTAGTTTTTTTTTATTATGTTATTAATGATTAAGAATTAATAAATTAAAAAAAAATGGCATATATGTAAATTACATTAAGCTCGACTAAGCTCGCGAGCCGTACAAGATGAGTATTTTAGTACTCGAGCTCGGCTCGATAAGGTACCCGAATAGCTCGAGCTCGAGCTCGGCTCGATTAAGGTCGAGTCGATTTCGAGTATTTTTCGAGTCGGTCTCGAGTTTCTCACGAGTTGGCTTGTCTCGCTTACACCCCTAGTGAGAGAGATTATGAGAGTTACCGAAAGTTCCAGATCTGAAGGTGTAGAAGTTCAGATCTAGCTTAGAGTCGCCGAAAGTTCCAGATCTGAGATTGAAATCTAGCCTAGATGTGTTGGAGGTTGGAATTCGTAGGTCGGAGCTCATTGGTGGTAAGTTTGGCTGACGGTAGGAGCCAACAGAGTGGTTGTAGTGACGGTGGTTAGGCAACTGCTGTGGAAAGAGGCGGTGACTAGTTGGATGGTGGTGGTACTTGGAGGAGATATTGGTAGTGTTTTGGTATAAGTTTTTGGAAGTTTGTAAAAAAGTTTGAGGGGAATAAATCATCAGATCTTATTTTTATAAATGATGTTATTGTTTTGATGTTAATGTTTCAAAATGACCATAATATCCCTATTGTTTTTAGCATTTATCAGAAAAAAATATTAAAAGAAAACAAAAATACATCAAAAATAAATAGTTGTTAAAGTTCTTAACTTTTAAGGGTTCTCATTTGATCTTTTACACACACACACACACCACAATATATATGATATATATATATATATATATATATATATATATATATATATATATATATATATATATATATAGATATAGAGAGAGAGAGAGAGAGATATGTTCAAATGTTTCTAACAACTATTGTGTTCCTCAATGCACCAATCAAAAATTAGTAAATATTAAACAATTATTAAATTGTTAAAGGGTATAATAGTAATCTTTACCATATTTAATTTTAGTAATTATTAATATCCCTTTATTTTAGGAATCGGTTTCTTACTTACCCTATTAAAACCCACCTTCATCAAACGTCTATAAACACTTCCACCGACCAAAGAAGCCACTTGAACCACTTGATGCCATCGCCATCTACACCATCCTCGGAGAAATCTCCACTTGGAAAGGGATTTGTTTTTCATTCTGCATGTGATAGATATATGGATCGACACTCATCAACGAAGGTAAGCTCTAATTTCAATTTTATTTTATTGTGAAGGCTACATACGTTTGTTGTCGACAATTGAAATTAAATTACTTTTTTGATGCTATGCTATGTTTGGATTATTATAATATCTCCACTCAACCACCCAATGTTTTCATTAAGTTGCAAACTGATTTTATGTTTACTCTATCTAAATCGCTATTTATTTCTTTTTTATTTGTTTGTTGTTTTTGTTTATTTATCTTAATTTCATAATCCGTGTGTATAAATAATCAAGTGGGTTTGGTATTAAAAGCTTATTGCTAAACAACAAATTTAAGTAATATTTATATTCATAAGTTGCACAATAAGTGTTTGTAGAAATGCCTAAAAAAATTGCTTTTGGTTTTTAAATCCTTTTCACTTGCTGGATCTTTGTTTTTTTTATGCTTTGAGCTTCGATTTTCTATTATCTATATATGTTGCACAAAAATGTGTTTGTGGAAATGTCTAAAAGAGAATCTGATCATGTGGTATGTATTCTGTCAAAACTCTCAGAATGCCTATTATTCTGATAGAATTCGATTTCAATCTCCTTATTTGTCAGGATAGGAAAAGTAAAAAACATTGCAAGATAGGAAAAATGAAATACATTCTGGTAGAATATGCTATCATTCCTATTATATAGTTTCTATTAGATAAGTAATGCTTGTATTCTGTCAGAATTTATTTGTATAAATGCATTCTGTTAGAATGTATTTGAGAATGTTTGTTAACAACAAGTACATTAGCTTAACTGGTAATACTAACGAGTAATGCATGTTATTCTTTCAGAATGGCTTGAAGAAGGAATTCAATATTGATCATACAAGAGAAAGATTTGGAATCGAGTTCAACAACAAGTATATTTGCGAAGAATTATATTCTTACGCTAATACATCACATTTTCATAATAGTTGGAATCAAGTTGATTATTTGGACCATTGAAGAAGATCAAGTGTATTTGCTCAATAATTACATATTTAAAAATGCTATTTCTTAAGATATTTATTCATTTTTGATGATATTCTGTTAAAATATATATAGCTATATTAAAATGTATAAAACTATTAGTCTGTAAGAATATGTATGATTTTGTATTCAAGTTCGGATGTATATGAAGAATATATGTTGAATTCTTAAATCAGGTTAATTATCAAAAATATATGCATTGGAAATATATTCCGCAAGAATAAAATCGAAAATCTATTTACTAGTTAATGTTTAACATTCTGACAGAATAAAATCGAATTTTCAAATTTGAATTAATTTAAAATATTTAGATTTTTAAAAATAAGGGAATTAATTATCCTTTTAAATCCGAATTTTTTTTTTTTTTTTTTTTAATATAGGTTAATTGACTAAAATGCCCTTATGTTGAAATTTGTGTGATTATATGATACATGTTAACTCTCAAATCATGACCATTGATTTTATTCCATCCGTTGGTCCAGATTTATGCTTACGTGCATACAATAATTGTTAGGAACACATGAACCTAGCCCTTTATATATAATTGTTAAAAAAAAGACAAAAAAAAATGGTAATTTGGTCTTTTTATATGGAGCAAGGACCTGCAGTGTAATATTCAAAAACCATAGGGATGTAACCTATCAATTTTTAAACTTAGAGACTAAAACTGCAAATTCAACCAAACCACAGGGACCATTTCTGTAATTTACTCAAAAGTTAATAAGTTAATCGATTGTTTTTAAATGAAATTAAACCTTTTAAATTTATATAAAATAAACTTTTTCAAAATCAAAATCAAAACATGACAAATGAGACCTCTGCTTGTAACCATACACGTTGTTCGTCCGTCGTTCGTTCCTGTAGAAAACCCTTTCCACTTCCATTCCACCTCCCCATTTTTATGGCGGGAACAACTTCCCTTCTCTCACACCGTATCCCCTGGAAATCCCTAAATTTGAAAAGAATCCCATCTCCGCCTCCGGTTCACAACAACATGTGCTGGGTCGCGGCCAAGTCCGTCGCCTTCTCATTTCCTCGGTGGTGCTCAATCGGCCTTCACACCCGCTTCCTCCTCTCCCGTCGTCACTTTGCATCCTCTACGCCATGGTAGTAACCCTCTTTCCCCTTCTATCTGTTTCTCCACATTTTTTAGTTGAATATACCATTGGTTTGCATTTAAGTAGGAAAATATAAGCTGTTTATCTAGTAAATAGACAAAAGTAAAAAAGAAAAGGTGAAATGGGGGTGCTACTGCTAGCACACTATTTATCTCCATTGTAATTCTTTCTTATTTTGTTGTTTCTGAAAGGTATCAAAAATCTTCAATTCGTGTTCTAAATGTGGAACTTGTAGTCATTGCGCACTGGAAAAGATTCGCCATGTTATTTCGAACTGGGATTTGAGCAAAACCTAACTAAATGAGCTCAAATTGCAGTAAGAAAAGTTAAATTGAATGCTCCCACACACTATATACAAGGAAATAAAAATGGTTCTCCATAGGGTAATAGATATTAATTAGTTATAAGTGTTAAAGGATTGGTTTACCCCACAGATTATACTGTGAAAGTGATGGTTTTTTGTTGAAGCCATAATCCAGGGGTATAGTTGGGTCATTTCTTCTTCTTCTTCTTCTTCTCTTTTTCTGAAATTTGTTGAGTTTTCTTCAAAACACCAGGCAGCCAAAGCAGGTCAACTGCTCCAAAGAAAGAAAGTCAACAAGCACCAAATCAGCAAAAAAGGTGAGGGAACTAAAGGATGATCTTGATGAGAAGAATTATCCTCACATTATATGGTGGAAAGAGGTAATCTAGATAACTCATTAACTTCTCCATGTAAGCAACATGATATGAAAGTTGCTTATTTTCATAGATCATCTTCTTATCTCTTCTAAACTTATCAATATCACTCTTATTCCTTCTTCCAGAAAATGCAAACATGTATGAAGACATCTTCTTCCCAATTGGTAAAAAAACTTTCTTACTCTAATCTTCTTGGTTTGGATGAGAACCTGAAGAACGGAAGGCAAGTCTTTCTCATGATGTCAACACTCAACATGAACTCTTCTTGAATCTTGATCCTTATGTGTTAGTGATCTTTTCCTTTTATTTTCTATTTTGTGAAGTTTAAAAGAAGGAACTCTTAATTCCGAAGTTCTGAAATTCAAGTCAAGGTTCCCACGTGAAGTTTTACTTTGTAGGGTATGTTTTTATAGTCCCATATCTTCTTCTATCTCATTATATCATACTAAAGGCATGTTTCTCTCATGTTTGTTTGATTAATGATTATAATAGTCAACATTAAGAACAAATTCATGAATCTTTTTTCATCTCATTAGGTTGGAGAGTTTTATGAAGCTGTTGGATTTGATGCTTGTGTTCTTGTGGAATATGCTGGTTTAAACCCTATGGGTGGTTTACGCTCTGATAGCATTCCAAAAGCTGGTTGCCCTGTTGTGGTATTGCATACTTATTTCATTAAAATTTATAATATGATCAATTTCAAACATTTTTTGAATGCCTATTTTCTTGCATTCATTTTTCCCTATGTAGAATTTACGCCAAACATTGGATGATTTGACACGTAATGGGTTTTCAGTAGTAAGTTCACTTTGACTTTTTCTTGTTTGACTTCAATAAGATGAGTTGTGAGCTGGAAAAGTTTCTTTCTTAATGTTTTTGTAGTGCATTGTGGAAGAAGTTCAAGGTCCAACTCAAGCACGTTCTCGTAAAAGCCGTTTTATATCAGGGTATTTCTGACTTTTTACATTCTTTCAACGTTCTTGAAATCTTGATGATAAGTATTTGAATAGTAAGTTATTGTTGATTTATTTAGTCATGCACATCCTGGAAGTCCTTATGTTTTTGGACTTGTTGAAGATGATCATGATCTTGAGTTTCCAGAGCCAATGCCTGTTGTTGGTATGTAAAATTTCACTCTTTTTGTATCATTTGAATATCTATTTAATATTTTAATGTTAATCTTTACATTCTAATTTCCATTTGTTAAATTGTAGGAATCTCACGTTGTGCAAAAGGGTATTTCATGGTTCAAGTGTTGGAAACTATGAAGACTTTTTCTTCAGAGGATGGTTTAACTGAAGAGGCAATTGTTACAAAGCTTCGGACTTGTCATTATCATCATTTGTATCTTCATAATTCATTGAAGAACAATTCTTCAGGTACTTTCTATTTTGGTTGATTAAAGGACAACAAGTTTAGAAGAACAATTCTTTGTATACAAACCTAAGGGGCTGTTTCTTTTTAACTCAATGAGCTTAATGGGTTAAGCACTTAATCTGTACAACAACTATATATACTTTTTTCTTTTTTACTTAATCCATACAAAATGACTTAATGAATTGAAGCTAAAATACATGTCTTAGTGTCTTGATACACTAACCCTTCACCTATTTCCCTTTTTTGTTTCCCTCCTCTCATGTTAACTTTGATTAATATTTGAATAATGTAAGGGTAAAATGGTCATTTAGTCTCATTCAAACGGTTTATTCAGTCTAGAAAAGAAACAGAAACACTTTATCTAGACAAACATCACTACCCATTAAGTCACTTTACCTATACAGGACTTAATGGAAGAAAAAAAAGAAACAACCCTAAGAATCACTAATTGATCCTCAATAATGGCAATATCTTTTTAATAGGGACTTCTAATTGGAGAGAATTTGGTGAAGGTGGATTACTATGGTCTGAATGCAATGGCAGACACTTTGAATGGCTTGAAGGGGATTTTGTTAATGAGATCTTATTTAGGGTTCGATACATCTTTAATCCCCTTTCTATATACTTTTATACTTCCATTTATCAACATGGTATTGACTATTGAAGCTACATACGTAGTTTTTTTTTACCATTTATGTTGTAACCTCAGGTAAAAGAGCTATATGGCCTTGATGAAAAGGTCACATTTAGGAATGTCACTGTTGCTTCAGAAAACAGGCCACGTTCATTGCACCTTGGAACAGCTTCACAAATTGGTCAGCTATAATCTTTTGAGAAATCTCCTATAAAGTCCCTATATTTTGACCTCATATTCAATTAAGTCCCTATATTGTTTTTTTTTCTTCTGATTAAGTCCTGAATACCGGTTAAATTATTCAATTGTGGACAGTTTTTTCAGATTAGTTGGTTTCATGCTTAGAAATCTCCTATAAAGTCCCTACATTTTGACCTCATATTCAATTAAGTCCTACATTTTGACTTTATAGGGACTTAATTGAATATGAGGTCAAAATATAGGGACTTTATAGGAGATTTCCCTAATCTCTTAGGTTGTCTTGTTTTGCTATACATGGTAACATTTATGTTATACATTGACACCTGTCATTCATCTAATTTAATAGGTGCTATTCAGACTGAAGGAATACCTTTTTTGTTAAAAATTTTGCTACCCTCAAATTGCACGGGGTTACCTGCTATGTAAGTCAAGAGTTGATTACTTTGAATTTTCAATACTGCATATAAATATAGTTCAAACTACACAATGTCTTTAGTTATTTACATATAATATGAAAAACCACATTAGAAAATTTCTTCCATTCCTACATCCAAGTTCTAACCAAACATTATCATGGAATGTAAATATGTAATGACTCATTCCATTACTTCCATCTTTCTTTCATTATCTTTTTTATTTGTTTATATTTTTATGGTTCTATCTACAGGTATGTTAGAGATCTTCTTCTAAATCCTCCTGCTTATGCAATTGCATCTACAATTCAAGGTCAGTTTCCAATTAGTAGATTATTCATGTTCATTAGTGATTTAGTTCTGATTGTGTCCTACATGTAAGGATTTATGATATTTTTCTTAATTTAATAGTAGCTTTGTATTCTTTTTGCAACATTTGCAGAGATATGCAAACTCATGAGCAATGTTTCATGTTCAATTCCTCAATTTACTTGCATCTCACCATCAAAGGTAATGAAACTCCTTTCTCATTTCCAACTTCATTGAAGGCATGAAATTACAACTTTCACCCTTTATGAATCTGTATCTATACATTTCTTGTCATATTTTCATAGTTTAACCTTTTTTTTATTTGTTTCACCAATCTTGCAGCTTGTAAAGTTACTTGAGTTAAGGGAAGCAAATCATGTTGAGTTTTGCAAGATAAAAAGTGTGCTTGATGAGATTTTGCAATTGTATAAAGACTCAGAGCTTCATGGGATACTCAGATTATTAATGGACCCCACTTGGGTATCAACCGGATTGAAAATCGGCTTTGAGACACTTGTAAGTGCTGAAATTTCCTTAAATGATAAATATATTTTTTCTTTTATATACCATGAGACTTATCTGTTACCTATACTTTGTTTGGTTATTTTCAGGTGAATGAATGTGAATCTATCTCCCATAGAATTGGTGAACTTATCTCTTTAGATGGTGAAAAAGATCAGAAAACAAGTTCATATCCAAACATACCAAATGATTTTTTTGAAGAGATGGAATCTTCATGGAAAAACCGTGTTAAAAAGATCCATCTAAAAGAATCCTATGAAGAGGTTGATAAAGCTGCTGAAGCCTTATCTTTAGCAGTAAGTGTTCTTCCTTTGCTTCCATAGTTTGTTATTATTATCTTCTAGTAAGTTAACAGATGCCAGGTGGCATTTTTCCTAAGGTTACAGAAGATTTCCTTCCTATAATTTCAAGAATAAAAGCTACCACAGCACCATTTGGAGGTGTAAGAGGAGAAATCACATATGCACGTGAGCATAAATCTGTTTGGTTTAAGGGAAAAAGATTTGCCCCTTCTGTTTGGGCTAATACCCCTGGAGAAGAACAAATAAAACAACTCAAACCTTCTATAGACTCAAAGGGTAGAAAAGTCGGAGAAGAATGGTTCACCACAGTAAAGGTCGAAAATGCCCTCACAAGGTTAACCTTTAATAAGAAAAAAACTTTGTTTTAAAAAGAAAGGCTATGTTTGTTACTCTAAGACTAGACAAGGTTTCTTAGGCTGTTTTCAATGATGAAGATAATGAGGGCATTTTCGTCTTTTCAGGTACCATGAAGCTGGTGCTAATGCAAAGACAATGGTGTTGGAATTATTAAGGGGACTTTCTACAGAATTGCAAGATAAAGTTAATGTTCTCATTTTTGCCTCCATGTTGCTTGTCATTGCAAAAGCATTATTTGCTCATGTGAGGTAAGAGATCAAATATTACAACTGTATGCTAGTTTGCAAGATTCTAAATCAAATTCTTTTTGTTCATTAAATAAATACATCAAGTTAATTGTTGTGAACATGAAGTGTTGTTTTTTAAAGGTTTAATTCAAGAATGTTCATGCCTTTTTATTACTTTTTCCTTGTTTATATTCACTCATGTTTATTGCATATATTCTCATTATTTAAGAGGCTTTTCAATAAACAAGAAACTTCTAGCATAATGTTTTTTTTTTTAGTTTAGTCATAATTGCTTCTTTTATTATTTAAAGACTGAACATTTTCTAATGCTGAAACAGTGAGGGGAAAAGGAGGAGATGGGTGTTCCCTACTCTCATTCAGTCCCATGGTTCCAAGGTACCCCCCCCCCCCCCCCCCCCCCCCCCCCCCCTTGTTTTTTTCTTCATCTTTTAAGTGATGTCTGTATAAATGATTATTAAAAGATATTTTAGAAAAAGACGACACCCTAAGAGAAATGGAAGAAAAAGTTAAACAAGGGCAAATTTGTAAAAAAAGTTAGGGCTTAATGGGAAAAATTTCTTTCAAGTCAAAAATAAACACTCATTTCTAGATTTTGCATAACTTTCTCTGTTAAGTCATTCTTTATGCTTTAAGTCAATAAGAAGCACTCATATATAGCTCTATTAAGTCAAAAAAGAAACATCCATTTATAATTATAGCAAATGGAAAGTTATTTGCTTTGTTATTTTTGAAGGTTTGATATGTAATTTTTCACAGGAAAAGGGAGAAATTGATGGAATGAAGATAAGTGGTTTATCACCCTATTGGTTTGATGCAGCTGAAGGAAGTGCTGTTGTTAAACACAATTGAAATGAAGTCAATATTTCTGTTGACTGGTCCAAATGGAGGTGGAAAATCAAGTTTACTTCGTTCAATTTGTGCTGCAGCTTTATTTGGAATATGTGGATTCATGGTCCCTGCTGAGTCAGCAATAATTCCTCAATTCGACTCCATTATGTTACACATGAAATCCTATGATAGCCCTTCTGATGGAAAGAGCTCATTCCAGGTCATCGTTTAAATTTTTACACAATCATATACTAAATGACCATTTTACCCTTGCATCCAAAAACACAAACTTCACAATATTCATGCATTTTTATTAATGTTCGGAGTTGGAAGAAAAACACAAGGGAAAATAGGTCAAAAGTTAGCATCTTAATACATTAATTCATGTTTTTGTCTTTTTGGCTTAACTCATTAAGTCAGTTTTTACAGAATAAGTCAAAGAAATTGTTTCATATATAACTGTCAAGATTACGTTGTTTCTTTTTGTAAAGTTAAGCCAAAAAACTTGGCTTAATGTATTAAGACACTAACTCTTTCACATGTTTCCTTTTACATTTAAATTAATTCATTTTTGTTAAATTCGATGAATATACTGAATTTAGTTTTTTGGAATGTAAAGGTAAAACAATCATGTAGAAAAGAAACAAACTTTATAACTTCTAACTTGTAACTATTAAAATAATAAAATCCCATAATTTTATGATTTCAGATTGAAATGTCAGAATTGCGTTCGATTATCACAGGAGCCACATCAAACAGCCTTGTTCTTGTGGATGAAATCTGCAGAGGTACAGAAACAGCAAAAGGGACATGTATTGCTGGAAGTTTTATTGAAACCCTGGATTCAATTGGTTGTTTAGGCATAGTATCAACTCACTTACATGACATTTTCAAATTACCATTGAACACAAACAACACAGTTTTCAAAGCAATGGGAAGTGAATTTGTCAATGGTCAAACTAAACCCACATGGAAGTTGACCAATGGAATATGCACAGAAAGTCTTGCATTTGAAACAGCTCAAAGAGAAGGTGTCCCTCAAACAATCATACAAAGAGCTCAAGAGCTTTATGCCTCGGTTTACACACACAACATCAATTCAAACAAAACCTACAATCACACAATTCAAGAATCAATTCAAGAATCAACATCTTTTTCTTCTTCAATTGTTAATGAATCAACAGATCAAATGGATAAAATTTTGAAGGATTTGGAGAAAGCTGTGAGTTTGATATGTAAGAAAAGTAAATCAGAAGTTTTGATTAGATGTGTTGTGATTTCTCCTAGAAAACAACCACCTCCTTCAGTAATTGGTGCTTCAAGTGTTTATGTGATTATTAGGCCTGATAATAGGCTTTATGTTGGAGAGGTATCTGTTTCACTTTTTTCACTTGGTAAAATTACAAATGGTGTTTTATTTTTAGCAAATTGGAAGAAATAGCAACGGACTTTACTCTTTTTTTTACCAATATAAGCTATATACTTTGTTTTTTTAATCTATAATCGCAACATAATTACATTTTTTTACCTATAATGGCAATATGTAACTTATTATAGCAACATATTTACATTTCCTTACCAATAATAGCAATACATAACAAATGAAGCTAAATACAAGTATGTTGCTATTATAGGTAAGGGTTAATCTCGTAAAAAACCTTATATTTTGTGTTTTTTACGGATTAAACCTCAACTTTACTTTTTTCCTGAAAAGGACCTTGTGATTTTTCATTTTTTTTCCGATCCAGCTTATTTAGTCATTTTTTCCGAAAAAACTTGTAAAATGTGAGGGTTTTGTAGGAAAAAAAAACTAAAAAAGTTGAGGGTTTTTTCGGAAACAGTTTGAAGGCTGAGGGTTTTTTTCTGAAAAAAGACAAAGTTGAGGGTTTTTTCGGAAATAGTTTGAAGGTTGAGGGTTTTTTTTCGGAAAAAAAGACAAAGTTGAGGGTCTTTTCGGAAGCATTTTGAAGGTCGAGGGCTTTTTTTCAGAAAAAAGACAATGTTGAGCGTTTTTTTGGAAAAAAACAAAGTCGAGGGTTTTTTTGGAAATAAACAAGGTCTTTTTCAAGAAAAAGTAAAGTTGAGGTCTAATCAGGAAAAAAAAAAACAAAATATAAGGTCTTTTATGAGATTAACCCTATAGGTAAAATATAAAGTAAAGAAATGGAAGTATGTTGCTATTATGGGTTAAGAAACAAAAAGCAAAAAACATTGCTATTGTTCACAATTTACCTTTTTATGTTTAAAAGAATATTTATTAAATTTGTTGATAAAATTGTTGTTTCAGACTGATGATCTTGAAGGAAGGGTTAGGGCACATCGGGGAAAGCCAGGAATGGAAAATGCTTCTTTTTTGTATTTCTTAGTTTCAGGGAAAAGTGTGGCTTGCCAGCTGGAAACATTGTTGATTAATCGGCTGCCTAAACATGGGTTTCAACTCACGAATGTGGCTGATGGAAAACATAGGAACTTTGGTACTTGTGATGTTTCTGTACAAGGTATAAGCTTACATAGATGATTAATGGATTCCTAGGTAGATTTAGAGTAGTTGATGTTTTGTAGTTTTGGAAACTTTTGGTGCAACGATTTTGTGTTTGATACGTGTTGTGCCAATTTTTGTAAAGTGAAGATGTTTTTGGTGTAATTTGCAATCATGTTATCAAAAAGATTGCAAAAACATCAAGGGAATTCTTGATTGTGTAATTTAAACAGTCATGAATGGAGCTTGACAATGTGTGTGAGTTTTATATGCAAGTTACCCCTTACGAATACAACCTAAAGGAAATAAAATGTTTTTACGCACATGTGATACACATCACAAAATACATGTGTCGGGTTTTTTAAAGTTTAGTGATAGACATGGGGGTTTATACTCATCATAAATAAAATAAATATCACTTGTAAATATTGTAAACAAAGAAGATGCAATATATTATTATTCTGAACCTATGACTCGACCCTTTTATATTTTGCCAAAATCTTTTACACGGGTGCAACTTTAGGCTACCTTCCATTGTCTTAACGTTTTCACTCACATGTAGCTAGACTTTCTAGAATGTGATACCCGAATGTCAGATGCATTTTAATGTATGAGCAACTATTCCATGCATTTACATCATATTCAGGCTTTAAATCTCATGCATTTTGTATATTTCGAGTCTTTTATATAAATTTGTGGAAGTTGTTGATTTGCACATTTTTATATGATATTTATGTGGTTTGAAGCTTGGAAAATGTCCAAATTTCATGAAGATTGGAGTTGACATGCACAAGTTGAATATTTCAAAGATTTGGACCTTCACAAAAGATTACATGGTCGAGTCACATGATGCCTGAACTTTTACTTGGCTGAGTCTGTCAAAAAACACGTTTTGACACTCGGGAATTTCGACTCGGTCGAGTCGCAGTCAAAATGGTAAAAAAAGTAACTTTTGCATTTTTGATCTTTGAGTGAGTTGACTCGGTAGAGTCACTCTCATGGGTAGTTTTGGCTCAACCAAGTTAGGGGTGACTTGGTCCCCACGCTTCCTAAAATTTGTATAAACAAACCCCATGTTATTATCTTGATATATCTGATTTTTGGAGCATCAGAACGTTGAGGAACACGGTTTGAGCTGCTATTAGATATTTTTTGTCATTAGTTTTGTAAAAACCATTATCATACACTTCTTAACCATGTTCTTAGCCATGATCGGCTAAAAACCCTCTTTTCCGAGTCTATTTCTTATTTGATTATGTCCGGTTGATTTCAACCGATTGATGTTTTAGATTAGTTTATAATTTAGTGATTTATGTTTTGTTCTTAATAAAGCATTTCAATTTATGTTTTTTTTTTCATGAATGACCACATGAATTAGTGTGATTTGTAGCAAAATGAGTTAATTTAGGCCATCCACATCAGTGAAGTATTACTCATCTTTCAATTATGCCACATCAGCTTTGCAACAATTTAGACCATCCTAGAAAAATTTAGAGTAGTAGATGTTTTGTAGCTTTGGAAACTTTTGGTGCAACAATTTTGTGCTTGATACGTGTTGCGCCAATTTTTGTAAAGTGAAGATTTTGTTTTGATGTAATTTGGCAATCTTGTCATAAAAAAGATTGTAAAAACATCATTAGGAATTCTGATTGTTTTTGATGAATGGAACTTGACAATCATTGTTGTGTGTGTGTAAATTATATATCTTTGTATATTATATACAAATATCTTGGTATGACATTGATATCAATAGCGATACGTAAGCAGGTGTAATACCTTGTAAGATGAATATGGAAATGATTACAAATATTTATCTAATATGATTTAATATGCGGACATAAAATGTTTGTCAATGTGAGATTAGTCTACTTGATAGAGCCTGTGCCTCTTAAATTGAAGGTCCTGCGTTTTATTCCGGAAGGTGACGAATTCTATTAACCGGATAATACTAATTTCTAACTACTAACCAGACATTAAAAAAAACATTAATTATTATTTGATTAAATACTCTCAACATCTATGGACCGAATATTTTTTTTTCCTTTTTCATTGACCATTCAAATGCTCATTTTAGTTTTAGATTTATTATTATTATTTATTATTTATATTTATATTTTTTTATTTTTTTTGCATCTAACTTATTCTTATTCAATAATATTTCATTTTACTCATTTAATTATATATATTTAAATTTTAAAATACTTTGTATTTATTTACTAATTAATTTATTTTATTAGATATTTTATAATATTTTATTTATAAAGTATAAAACTTATAATGATTATATAATATTTTTATTGCACTTTTTATCTTTATAATTATAATGCAATAAGTTTTTTCTTATATTTTATATATTTCAAATAAAGACTCGAAATAGGTGTATTTAAATAGTAATGTTTAGAAATACTTTTTAATAAATATTTTCGTCTTAAAATATGATATTATTTTAATAAAGAGAAAACTCCATAAAAGTCCTTATGTTTTGGCTTCATAATCGTTTTAGTCCTTATGTATATATTTTTATTCAATTATGTCCCCAAAACCGGAAACTGTATTCAATTTGACCATTTTACCTGATCAACAGGTCATCAAACTTTCAAAAATTATACTTTTGACCCAAATTTCAATTTGTTTTTTACAAATTCATCCTAAATTTTGTTTTTTACATTTTTTTTTCAAAATTTTGTTTCAAGTATGTTCTTTTGCTGTATAAAATCATATTTATACAAAATACTTACATAAAAACATTTTTTTTATGCAAAATACTTATATAAAAACCTTTTTTCTAAATCATTTTGTATGCAAAATACCTATTTATAAAAAAATATTTTTTTTATACAAATACGTTTTCATAGTAAACGTATTTGTATATATTTATGTATACAAACATGTTTTTTATAACAAAAAAAGTTTTTATACAAACATGCTTTTATATAAAAAACATGTATAGAAACACATATTTATACAAATATGTTTATATACAAACACATTTTTATAAAAAAAACAAATGTATACAAACACGTATGTGTATATATATATATATATATATATATATATATATATATACACACACACACACACACAAACACACGTTTGTATAGAAACACGTTTTTATACATACACATTTGTATACAAACACGTTTTGTTTTTATAAAATAAGTGTTTGTATATATTTGTAAGTGTTTTTATACATACACATTTGTATACAAACACGTTTTGTATACAAACACGTTTTGTATACAAACACGTTTTGATTTCGCTCCGATGTCGGGCAGGGCCCGAGGAATGTTTATATGTTTATGTTATGTGATTATTTATGTGTATTTATTGATATGTTTATATGTATACCGAGCTTTGCTCGATGCCGGGCGGGGCCGGACGTTGGATCTCGGTCCGATGCCGGACGGGGCCCGATATAGCGGGCAAGGCCCATGATATGTTATTATGTGATTATGTGTATGCTACGTTGTCACAACCCGAAATATTCTATCTTGTGAGGTCAAACACATCAACTGAAGGTCAAACTTATAGGTTTCTAGACCTAGTATACATAAGGGTTGTGTGTTAGGAAGTGAACCACGTAAGAACCGAGAGCCAAGAACATCATTTGAGCCATAAACCTCAACAAATGAGGTTCACGGCCGCAAACCATGTTCACGGCCGTGAACCCTCCTTAGGCCGTGAACACCATGCATATATATGAGTTTGGTTCATTTTCCTTCACTTCTTCTTCTCTTGGCCGCAAACATCCCATTCTCTCTCAAGTATCATATATCAAGAACACCAATTTCACTCTTAAACATCCCTTTTCTTTGTATCTCCTTAAAATACAACTTAGGATCTTCAAACACTTGCCAAACAACAAGATCTTTAAGTGTTCTTCCCTGAAGTTGGGCCATGAACCACTCATAAGGGTCGTGAACCATCATAGGGCCGTGAACACCTCATGGGCCGTGAACCCTTCATGAGGCCGTGAACCCTTATAGCTTGGCCGTGAACTCCCTTTTAGCCTCCTAACTTGCTTCTAACACTCCTTTGGTGAGTTATTCTTGCATCCTAGGTTGTTTCCTAATTGCCTTGTAGTTAGATTCACTAATTTCATGCCTATATGTATCATTACATGCTATTTAGGACTCGTTTGTGCTCTGGGACTTCACTCATGGAACTTATCATCCTTATTCGAATCTTCAATTGAATCACCCACATAAGGTGAGTTCATACCCCTATAATCTACCTTTTAAATGGTTTTAAATTCTTTAAGGGGGGGGGGGGAATACAAGTTGAACACAATTAAAATGTGTTAATATTTACCTGTGATAACTATCACACAAAAGGAATTCTTATGCTTTTATAAGTTATTAAATCAATTCAAAAACCCTTTTAAAAGATGTTAGATTGTTGTTTATAAAACCCCATTTTTAAAGTACATGCTTAACTCAGTTGCTAATTGAGTCTTTTCTACAAATCAGTAACAGTTCAAACAAACATACTAGTAAACTATAATAGGTATAGTTTAGGGGATCAATGCATATTATATTCTAGAACAGAGGAACAATACATGATTCACGTACATATACTTTACACTCCCAGTAAACTAGGAAAGGAATGTACCATCAATTCATTTGTTTAAAACAAAATATGATAATACTTTTAGTATATGGTTACATATATATATATATATATATATATATATATATATATATATATATATATATATGGGGTACATCTACAAAGTATCGGGTTATATATGGGGTACATCTGCAAAGTACCGAGTTTTATTTAAAAGGGTACATCTACAAAGTACCGGTTAATAATAAATAAAGCATAACAATATATAAAACTCACAACCGTATCGACTAAGGCGTTTAGAGTACGAGATTTCATAACTTCTAGTGGTTTTCCTAAACAATAGAACTACACCACATAACTTTCCTAGTAACATGAACATACAATTTGAAAGGGGCCTATAATGCTAACTTTATGATTCCTCGGTATATACATTAGGGTTATATATTAATCGGATCCGACAGGTAGTAGGATGTGTGCTTTCCGCCTCATTTCCTGTTCCTTGTTTGGTTGTGGGCTTAGAGTAGATTCACACAGTCTACTATCTATTTGATCTTAGTTATATATATATATTATATATATATATATATATATATATAACCCGTATACACCAAGTAATCATAGGGGGTAACAGGTATGGGTCAGGTCATAACATATAATTATAACATACCACTTTCTAGTACAAAAACATACTTTTTGAATGGAACATTAAGTAGGTGAAACTAGAAACTTATTTATAAAAGGTTTAATACTTATTATTAAACTAGTATAACATAAAGGACCTTAAATGGTTAATTCTATAATTCCTTAGTTTATACATCAGAGTTATATATAAATAATATCCGATAGGCAATGGAATGTGTGACTTCTGCCTCATTTCCTGTTCCTTGTTTGGTTGTGGGCTTAGGGCAGATACACACATTTAACTGTCCGTTCTATATTAGGTTATGTATAGCTAGTATAAACTAAGTGATTATAGAAGGAACTATTGTGGCTACCAGTTTACTAAAGAAAATATATGATTTTCTTAAGGAATATTTAATCAAATATCAGAGAACTATTACAGTTAACTCCGTAAGCACCTAATGAATACGTCAGGGTTATATACAATGAAGATCTAACAAACAATGAGATGTGTGACTTCTGCCTCATTTCCTGTTCCTTGTTTGGTTGTGGGCTTAAGGCAGATTCACACAATCGATTGTCTGTTTGATCTGG